TTCTATACAGTCATACATCATACTTTCATTTCTATACAGTCATACATCATACTTTCATTTCTATACAGTCATACATCATACTTTCATTTCTATACAGTCATACATCATACTTTCATTTCTATACAGTCATACATCATACTTTCATTTCTATACAGTCATACATCATACTTTCATTTCTATACAGTCATACATCATACTTTCATTTCTATACAGTCATACATCATACTTTCATTTCTATACAGTCATACATCATACTTTCATTTCTATACAGTCATACATCATACTTTCATTTCTATACAGTCATACATCATACTTTCATTTCTATACAGTCATACATCATACTTTCATTTCTATACAGTCATACATCATACTTTCATTTCTATACAGTCATACATCATACTTTCATTTCTATACAGTCATACATCATACTTTCATTTCTATACAGTCATACATCATACTTTCATTTCTATACAGTCATACATCATACTTTCATTTCTATACAGTCATACATCATACTTTCATTTCTATACAGTCATACATCATACTTTCATTTCTATACAGTCATACATCATACTTTCATTTCTATACAGTCATACATCATACTTTCATTTCTATACAGTCATACATCATACTTTCATTTCTATACAGTCATACATCATACTTTCATTTCTATACAGTCATACATCATACTTTCATTTCTATACAGTCATACATCATACTTTCATTTCTATACAGTCATACATCATACTTTCATTTCTATACAGTCATACATCATACTTTCATTTCTATACAGTCATACATCATACTTTCATTTCTATACAGTCATACATCATACTTTCATTTCTATACAGTCATACATCATACTTTCATTTCTATACAGTCATACATCATACTTTCATTTCTATACAGTCATACATCATACTTTCATTTCTATACAGTCATACATCATACTTTCATTTCTATACAGTCATACATCATACTTTCATTTCTATACAGTCATACATCATACTTTCATTTCTATACAGTCATACATCATACTTTCATTTCTATACAGTCATACATCATACTTTCATTTCTATACAGTCATACATCATACTTTCATTTCTATACAGTCATACATCATACTTTCATTTCTATACAGTCATACATCATACTTTCATTTCTATACAGTCATACATCATACTTTCATTTCTATACAGTCATACATCATACTTTCATTTCTATACAGTCATACATCATACTTTCATTTCTATACAGTCATACATCATACTTTCATTTCTATACAGTCATACATCATACTTTCATTTCTATACAGTCATACATCATACTTTCATTTCTATACAGTCATACATCATACTTTCATTTCTATACAGTCATACATCATACTTTCATTTCTATACAGTCATACATCATACTTTCATTTCTATACAGTCATACATCATACTTTCATTTCTATACAGTCATACATCATACTTTCATTTCTATACAGTCATACATCATACTTTCATTTCTATACAGTCATACATCATACTTTCATTTCTATACAGTCATACATCATACTTTCATTTCTATACAGTCATACATCATACTTTCATTTCTATACAGTCATACATCATACTTTCATTTCTATACAGTCATACATCATACTTTCATTTCTATACAGTCATACATCATACTTTCATTTCTATACAGTCATACATCATACTTTCATTTCTATACAGTCATACATCATACTTTCATTTCTATACAGTCATACATCATACTTTCATTTCTATACAGTCATACATCATACTTTCATTTCTATACAGTCATACATCATACTTTCATTTCTATACAGTCATACATCATACTTTCATTTCTATACAGTCATACATCATACTTTCATTTCTATACAGTCATACATCATACTTTCATTTCTATACAGTCATACATCATACTTTCATTTCTATACAGTCATACATCATACTTTCATTTCTATACAGTCATACATCATACTTTCATTTCTATACAGTCATACATCATACTTTCATTTCTATACAGTCATACATCATACTTTCATTTCTATACAGTCATACATCATACTTTCATTTCTATACAGTCATACATCATACTTTCATTTCTATACAGTCATACATCATACTTTCATTTCTATACAGTCATACATCATACTTTCATTTCTATACAGTCATACATCATACTTTCATTTCTATACAGTCATACATCATACTTTCATTTCTATACAGTCATACATCATACTTTCATTTCTATACAGTCATACATCATACTTTCATTTCTATACAGTCATACATCATACTTTCATTTCTATACAGTCATACATCATACTTTCATTTCTATACAGTCATACATCATACTTTCATTTCTATACAGTCATACATCATACTTTCATTTCTATACAGTCATACATCATACTTTCATTTCTATACAGTCATACATCATACTTTCATTTCTATACAGTCATACATCATACTTTCATTTCTATACAGTCATACATCATACTTTCATTTCTATACAGTCATACATCATACTTTCATTTCTATACAGTCATACATCATACTTTCATTTCTATACAGTCATACATCATACTTTCATTTCTATACAGTCATACATCATACTTTCATTTCTATACAGTCATACATCATACTTTCATTTCTATACAGTCATACATCATACTTTCATTTCTATACAGTCATACATCATACTTTCATTTCTATACAGTCATACATCATACTTTCATTTCTATACAGTCATACATCATACTTTCATTTCTATACAGTCATACATCATACTTTCATTTCTATACAGTCATACATCATACTTTCATTTCTATACAGTCATACATCATACTTTCATTTCTATACAGTCATACATCATACTTTCATTTCTATACAGTCATACATCATACTTTCATTTCTATACAGTCATACATCATACTTTCATTTCTATACAGTCATACATCATACTTTCATTTCTATACAGTCATACATCATACTTTCATTTCTATACAGTCATACATCATACTTTCATTTCTATACAGTCATACATCATACTTTCATTTCTATACAGTCATACATCATACTTTCATTTCTATACAGTCATACATCATACTTTCATTTCTATACAGTCATACATCATACTTTCATTTCTATACAGTCATACATCATACTTTCATTTCTATACAGTCATACATCATACTTTCATTTCTATACAGTCATACATCATACTTTCATTTCTATACAGTCATACATCATACTTTCATTTCTATACAGTCATACATCATACTTTCATTTCTATACAGTCATACATCATACTTTCATTTCTATACAGTCATACATCATACTTTCATTTCTATACAGTCATACATCATACTTTCATTTCTATACAGTCATACATCATACTTTCATTTCTATACAGTCATACATCATACTTTCATTTCTATACAGTCATACATCATACTTTCATTTCTATACAGTCATACATCATACTTTCATTTCTATACAGTCATACATCATACTTTCATTTCTATACAGTCATACATCATACTTTCATTTCTATACAGTCATACATCATACTTTCATTTCTATACAGTCATACATCATACTTTCATTTCTATACAGTCATACATCATACTTTCATTTCTATACAGTCATACATCATACTTTCATTTCTATACAGTCATACATCATACTTTCATTTCTATACAGTCATACATCATACTTTCATTTCTATACAGTCATACATCATACTTTCATTTCTATACAGTCATACATCATACTTTCATTTCTATACAGTCATACATCATACTTTCATTTCTATACAGTCATACATCATACTTTCATTTCTATACAGTCATACATCATACTTTCATTTCTATACAGTCATACATCATACTTTCATTTCTATACAGTCATACATCATACTTTCATTTCTATACAGTCATACATCATACTTTCATTTCTATACAGTCATACATCATACTTTCATTTCTATACAGTCATACATCATACTTTCATTTCTATACAGTCATACATCATACTTTCATTTCTATACAGTCATACATCATACTTTCATTTCTATACAGTCATACATCATACTTTCATTTCTATACAGTCATACATCATACTTTCATTTCTATACAGTCATACATCATACTTTCATTTCTATACAGTCATACATCATACTTTCATTTCTATACAGTCATACATCATACTTTCATTTCTATACAGTCATACATCATACTTTCATTTGTTCTATACTTGTGGCTACCTTCATTGAAAGAATTGTTTTCAATTTTTTCAAATACAGTCGTACCTTGACATATAGTACGTGATTTTTAAGATACCAGCAGTTGAGAGAATGATTCATTTTGCTTTTAGTTACGAACAAAATTTGATATAGGAGTGTCCATTCAGGCATTAGTCACAACTTAAGTGATTGGTTGTGTTTGTACATCAGCTGTAGATATGTGATTGGTTGTGTTTGTACATCAGCTGTAAATATGTGATTGGTTGTGTTTGTACATCAGCTGTAGATATGTGATTGGTTGTGTTTGTACATCAGCTGTAGATATGTGATTGGTTGTGTTTGTACATCAGCTGTAGATATGTGATTGGTGTATGTTTGTACATCAGCTATAGATATGTGATTGGTTGTGTTTGTACATCAGCTGTAGATATGTGATTGGTTGTGTTTGTACATCAGCTGTAAATATGTGATTGGTTGTGTTTGTACATCAGCTGTAGATATGTGATTGGTTGTGTTTGTACATCAGCTGTAGATATGTGATTGGTTGTGTTTGTACATCAGCTGTAAATATGTGATTGGTTGTGTTTGTACATCAGCTGTAGATATGTGATTGGTTGTGTTTGTACATCAGCTGTAGATATGTGATTGGTTGTGTTTGTACATCAGCTGTAGATATGTGATTGGTTGTGTTTGTACATCAGCTGTAGATATGTGATTGGTGTATGTTGCAGGCACATCCGTACGGTAGCGCTGCAGATCGAAGTGACCAGGTATTTGACACAAGCTGGAGCTGCCCCCTCCACCACAGCCCCAACTTTGTTTGCACAAACTTCAGCACGCATGGAATTGGTTTCTATGGTAACGTTCACCTTATGTAACACTGAAGGTCAAATGACAAGTCAGTAGCAACCCACTGACTTTAATTTTTGGAAATTTTATTAAAAAATCAACATACAAATCCAACTAGCCTACTTAGTTTGTGCTTGACCAACAGGAATGAAATGAGCCAACCTGTACAAACAGGTCACCCAAGACGGCCATCTGATCAAACGCAGTATTTTATCTCCCCTTTCATTACTGAATTAATTTTTAATGACTAACCTAACGTCTAATTAGATTTTTAAAATTGATACTATGTCATCCAAGAATTGGGTTTGAACAACATTGCTGCATTAGAAGTGGGTCAATTGAGTCACAAACAAACAGACAGACATTGCTAAGTAAACAACCCACTATTGAAACATTTGACACAAGTCATAGCTAGATATAGTAGATGATCCTTTCATTCAGAAAGTACTTATTTCTTATACTAGATATAGTAGATGATCCTTTCATTTGGAAAGTACTTATTTCTTATACTAGATATAGTAGATGATCCTTTCATTTGGAAAGTACTTATTTCTTATACTAGATATAGTAGATGATCCTTTCATTTGAAAAGTACTTATTTCTTATACTAGATATAGTAGATGTTCCTTTCATTCAGAAAGTACTTATTTCTTATACTAGATATAGTAGATGTTCCTTTCATTCAGAAAGTACTTATTTCTTATACTAGATATAGTAGATGTTCATTTCATTCAGAAAGTACTTATTTCTTATACTAGATATAGTAGATGTTCCTTTCATTCAGAAAGTACTTATTTCTTATACTAGATATAGTAGATGTTCCTTTCATTCAGAAAGTACTTATTTCTTATACTAGATATAGTAGATGTTCCTTTCATTCAGAAAGTACTTATTTCTTATACTAGATATAGTAGATGATCCTTTCATTCGGAAAGTACTTATTTCTTATACTAAATATAGTAGATGATCCTTTCATTCGGAAAGTACTTATTTCTGATACTAGATATAGTAGATGTTCCTTTCATTCAGAAAGTACTTATTTCTTATACTAGATATAGTAGATGATCCTTTCATTCGCAAAGTACTTATTTCTTATACTAGATGTCATTTAGAGATTTGGATAGTGTAGGGTTAAAGATAGTTGGATCATTTGTATTGAAAGCGAGGGAGGGCTGGGGTTAATTCATCTGAGAGAAATCAGACAGGGGGGGGGGGGGGGGACAATAATGTAACTTGTATGTCTGTCTGTCTATATGTGTGTATAAAGCTGTGTATAAAGCTTTATGACTGATGTATGACTGTGTATAAAGCTTTATGACTGATGTATGACTGTGTATAAAGCTTTATGACTGATGTATGACTGTGTGTATAAAGCTCTATGACTGATGTATGACTGTATAAAGCTGTATGACTGATGTATGACTGTGTATGAAGCTTTATGACTGATGTATGACTGTATAAAGCTTTATGACTGATGTATGACTGTATAAAGCTTTATGACTGATGTATGACTGTATAAAGCTTTATGACTGATGTATGACTGTGTATAAAGCTTTATGACTGATGTATGACTGTATAAAGCTTTATGACTGATGTATGACTGTGTATAAAGCTTTATGACTGATGTATGACTGTATAAAGCTTTATGACTGATGTATGACTGTATAAAGCTTTATGACTGATGTATGACTGTATAAAGCTTTATGACTGATGTATGACTGTGTATGAAGCTTTATGACTGATGTATGACTGTATAAAGCTTTATGACTGATGTATGACTGTGTATAAAGCTTTATGACTGATGTATGACTGTGTATGAAGCTGTATGACTGATGTATGACTGTATAAAGCTTTATGACTGATGTATGTCTGTGTGTATAAAGCTTTATGACTGATGTATGACTGTGTATAAAGCTTTATGACTGATGTATGACTGTATAAAGCTTTATGACTGATGTTTGTATGTGTGTATAAAGCTTTATGACTGATGTATGGCTGTATAAAGCTTTATGACTGATGTATGACTGTGTGTATAAAGCTTTATGACTGATGTATGACTGTATAAAGCTTTATGACTGATGTTTGTATGTGTGTATAAAGCTTTATGACTGATGTTTGTATGTGTGTATAAAGCTTTATGACTGATGTATGACTGTGTATGAAGCTTTATGACTGATGTATGACTGTATAAAGCTTTATGACTGATGTATGACTGTATAAAGCTCTATGACTGATGTATGACTGTATAAAGCTTTATGACTGATGTATGACTGTATAAAGCTTTATGACTGATGTATGACTGTATAAAGCTTTATGACTGATGTATGACTGTATGAAGCTTTATGACTGATGTATGACTGTGTATAAAGCTTTATGACTGATGTATTTGTCTGTGTGTATAAAGCTTTATGACTGATGTATGACTGTATAAAGCTTTATGACTGATGTATGACTGTATAAAGCTTTATGACTGATGTATGACTGTGTAAAGCTTTATGACTGATGTATGACTGTATAAAGCTTTATGACTGATGTATGACTGTGTATAAAGCTTTATGACTGATGTATGACTGTGTATAAAGTTTTATGACTGATGTTTGTATGTGTGTATAAAGCTTTATGACTGATGTATGGCTGTATAAAGCTTTATGACTGATGTATGACTGTGTGTATAAAGCTTTATGACTGATGTATGACTGTATAAAGCTTTATGACTGATGTTTGTATGTGTGTATAAAGCTTTATGACTGATGTTTGTATGTGTGTATAAAGCTTTATGACTGATGTATGACTGTGTATGAAGCTTTATGACTGATGTATGACTGTATAAAGCTTTATGACTGATGTATGACTGTGTATAAAGTTTTATGACTGATGTTTGTATGTGTGTATAAAGCTTTATGACTGATGTATGGCTGTATAAAGCTTTATGACTGATGTATGACTGTGTGTATAAAGCTTTATGACTGATGTATGACTGTATAAAGCTTTATGACTGATGTTTGTATGTGTGTATAAAGCTTTATGACTGATGTTTGTATGTGTGTATAAAGCTTTATGACTGATGTATGACTGTGTATGAAGCTTTATGACTGATGTATGACTGTATAAAGCTTTATGACTGATGTATGACTGTATAAAGCTCTATGACTGATGTATGACTGTATAAAGCTTTATGACTGATGTATGACTGTATAAAGCTTTATGACTGATGTATGACTGTATAAAGCTTTATGACTGATGTATGACTGTATGAAGCTTTATGACTGATGTATGACTGTGTATAAAGCTTTATGACTGATGTATTTGTCTGTGTGTATAAAGCTTTATGACTGATGTATGACTGTATAAAGCTTTATGACTGATGTATGACTGTATAAAGCTTTATGACTGATGTATGACTGTGTAAAGCTTTATGACTGATGTATGACTGTATAAAGCTTTATGACTGATGTATGACTGTGTATAAAGCTTTATGACTGATGTATGACTGTGTATAAAGTTTTATGACTGATGTTTGTATGTGTGTATAAAGCTTTCTGACTGATGTATGACTGTATAAAGCTGTATGACTGATCTATGACTGTGTATGAAGCTTTCTGACTGATGTATGACTGTATAAAGCTCTATGACTGATGTATGACTGTATAAAGTTTTATGACTGATGTATGACCGTGTATAAAGCTTTATGACTGATGTATGACTGTGTATAAAGCTCTATGACTGATGTATGACTGTGTATAAAGCTCTATGACTTATGTATGACTGTGTATAAAGCTTTATGACTGATGTATGACTGTGTATAAAGCTTTATGACTGATGTATGACTGTGTGCATAAAACTTTATGACTTATGTTTCCAGATTCTGCTGTATGACTGTATAAAACTTTATGACTTATGTTTCCAGATTCTGCTGTGTTCTGATTTTAAAGTCAGCTTTGATCTGGCCACAAGGATCGTTAAGGTTTGGGCTTGATTATATCTCTAGTTATAAGACTACAGCACTAATGTCCTCCAACATAGGACTCGATACAGCACTAATGTCCTTCAGTATAGGACTCGATACAGCACTAATGTCCTTCAGCATAGGACTCAATACAGCACTAATGTCCTTCATCACAGAACCCACCCCACATGAGTGAACCCCGCCCCCTACATGAGTGAACCCCGCCCCCCACGTGAGTGAACCCCGCCCCTCACGTGAGTGAACCCCGCCCCCCACATGAGTGAACCCCGCCCCCCACATGAGTGAACCCCGCCCCCCACATGAGTGAACCCCGCCCCCCACGTGAGTGAACCCCGCCCCTCACGTGAGTGAACCCCGCTCCCCACATGAGTGAACCCCGCCCCCCACATGAGTGAACCCCGCCCCCCACATGAGTGAACCCCGCCCTATATGTATGAGCCTATGAATGGCATTTAGTGCACAAGGTCATGGCTGATAATAAACTAATATGTGGCCTCCCCTCCCCCCCCTCACTGTTTACCCCCCTCACTGTTTACCCCCCTCACTGTTTACCCCCCTCCCCCCACCTATTTGAGCACTGGCTAATCCTTAGCATATGACCTCCCCCCTCACTGTTTACCCCCCCCCCCCCCCCCCCACCTATTTGAGCACTGGCTAATCCTTAGCATATGACCTCCAGGAATGTAGGTTGAATCCAGCCTTGACCTTCACTCACTGCTCCAGGGAGCTGGCTAAGTTGGGACGTTTTGATGACATCATACAGCTGACCAAAGCCCTGACCTCAGCAGGGCTGGTGGATGAGGCAGGGATAGATGAAATAGTTGGCGCCTCCCTGCTGGTCATAGCAGACACACAAGCCCTCGACCAGAGCGACACTTTGATCCAACTGCTGACTTGTGACAATAACAAGGTAACTTGTGACAACAACTGGGTAACTTGTGACAATAACAAGGTAACTTGTGACAATAACAAGGTAACTTGTGTACCTCGACCAGAGCGACACTTTGATCCAACTGCTGACTTGTGACAATAACAAGGTAACGTGTGACAACAACTGGGTAACTTGTGACAATAACAAGGTAACTTGTGACAATAACAAGGTAACTTGTGTACCTCGACCAGAGCGACACTTTGATCCAACTGCTGACTTGTGACAATAACAAGGTAACTTGTGACAATAACAAGGTAACTTGTGTACCTCGACCAGAGCGACACTTTGATCCAACTTCTGACTTGAGACAATAACAAGGTAACGTGTGACAACAACTGGGTAACTTGTGACAATAACAAGGTAACTTGTGACAATAACAAGGTAACTTGTGTACCTCGACCAGAGCGACACTTTGATCCAACTTCTGACTTGAGACAATAACAAGGTAACGTGTGACAACAACTGGGTAACTTGTGACAATAACAAGGTAACTTGTGACAATAACAAGGTAACTTGTGTACCTCGACCAGAGCGACACTTTGATCCAACTGCTGACTTGTGACAATAACAAGGTAACGTGTGACAAGGTAACTTGTAACAATAACAGGTATTACGTACCTCAACCACTGGTAAATTACCCGAATTCGTTTTAATCAACACAACCTACACGTTATTAAAATGAGACACACAAAAATACTGAATACACTGGTACTTAGAGTTAATTGCTGCTTAAACTAGAAAATACAACATGGCGTCGTACATGTCTCTCTCTCCTGTGGATATCTAGTGGGCAGCCGTGCGAGGAAAATTCCTGCCTTATATACGACTCCAAAATTATGGGATGTCGTCCTCAAAGGACCAATGGGAGGAAGTAGCCAAAGCACGAGCCACACGAACTCAGTGGTGAAAACTATCAGATGAGCGTGATGGAAAATTTCTTTAGTTTGAACAACAGACCACTCAAGGCCAATTAAATAATCATAAAATCAAACAATTAAAAAAAGAAGACCTAATTAGGTCACACAGGGTAACGTGACAATAACAGGGTAACTTGTGACAATAACAGGGTAACTTGTGGCAATAACAGGGTAACTTGTGACAATAACAGGGTAACTTGTGGCAATAACAGGGTAACTTGTGACAATAACAGGGTAACTTGTGACAATAACAGGGTAACTTGTGACAATAACAGGGTAACTTGTGACAATAACAGGGTAACTTGTGACAATAACAGGGTAACTTGTGACAATAACAGGGTAACTTGTGACAATAACAGGGTAACTTGTGACAATAACAGGGTAACTTGTGACAATAACAGGGTAACTTGTGACAATAACAGGGTAACTTGTGACAATAACAGGGTAACTTGTGACAATAACAGGGTAACTTGTGACAATAACAGGGTAACTTGTGACAATAACAGGGTAACTTGTGACAATAACAGGGTAACTTGTGACAATAACAGGGTAACTTGTGACAATAACAGGGTAACTTGTGACAATAACAGGGTAACTTGTGACAATAACAGGGTAACTTGTGACAATAACAGGGTAACTTGTGACAATAACAGGGTAACTTGTGACAATAACAGGGTAACTTGTGACAATAACAGGGTAACTTGTGACAATAACAGGGTAACTTGTGACAATAACAGGGTAACTTGTGACAATAACAGGGTAACTTGTGACAATAACAGGGTAACTTGTGACAATAACAGGGTAACTTGTGACAATAACAGGGTAACTTGTGACAATAACAGGGTAACTTGTGACAATAACAGGGTAACTTGTGACAATAACAGGGTAACTTGTGACAATAACAGGGTAACTTGTGACAATAACAGGGTAACTTGTGACAATAACAGGGTAACTTGTGACAATAACAAGGTAACTTGTGACAATAACAGGGTAACTTGTGACAATAACAGGGTAACTTGTGACAATAACAGGGTAACTTGTGACAATAACAGGGTAACTTGTGACAATAACAGGGTAACTTGTGACAATAACAGGGTAACTTGTGACAATAACAGGGTAACTTGTGACAATAACAGGGTAACTTGTGACAATAACAGGGTAACTTGTGACAATAACTGGATATACAATACTTTGATTCAAGTGCTGCATTCAACTTTAATAATGGCCTTTGAAGTCAGTCCATCTTAGGGAAGCTAAGTGGTCATCCATTTATTTCATCCACAAATAAATAGTTGCAATATTTTACGTTAGTGCAGTGAAAATATATCAGGAAAATTAGTCAATGACAGATACTACATGCATCTGTTAAAGTACTGTCCCCTGTTAGATTTGTTAAAGTACTGTCCCCTGTTAGATTTGTTAAAGTACTGTCCCCTGTTAGATCTGTTAAAGTACTGTCCCCTGTTAGATCTGTTAAAGTACTGTCCCCTGTTAGATTTGTTAAAGTACTGTCCCCTGTTAGATCTGTTAAAGTACTGTCCCCTGTTAGATTTGTTAAAGTACTGTCCCCTGTTAGATTTGTTAAAGTACTGTCCCCTGTTAGATTTGTTAAAGTACTGTCCCCTGTTAGATCTGTTAAAGTACTGTCCCCTGTTAGATCTGTTAAAGTACTGTCCCCTGTTAGATCTGTTAAAGTACTGTCCCCTGTTAGATTTGTTAAAGTACTGTCCCCTGTTAGATTTGTTAAAGTACTGTCCCCTGTTAGATTTGTTAAAGTACTGTCCCCTGTTAGATTTGTTAAAGTACTGTCCCCTGTTAGATTTGTTAAAGTACTGTCCCCTGTTAGATTTGTTAAAGAACTGTCCCCTGTTAGATTTGTTAAAGTACTGTCCCCTGTTAGATTTGTTAAAGTACTGTCCCCTGTTAGATTTGTTAAAGTACTGTCCCCTGTTAGATTTGTTAAAGTACTGTCCCCTGTTAGATTTGTTAAAGTACGTGATGGTTGGTTGACAGTAACTTGATGGTTGGTTGACAGTAACTTGATGGTTGGTTGACAGTAACTTGATGGTTGGTTGACAGTAACTTGATGGTTGGTTGACAGTAACTTGATGGTTGGTTGACAGTAACTTGATGGTTGGTTGACAGTAACTTGATGGTTGGTTGACAGTAACGTGATGGTTGACAGTAACGTGATGGTTGGTTGACGTGATGGTTCCTGCTTGTTTATTTCCAGATCAATGCCTTTATTTTATGTGGTAAACTGAGATCAGCCTATCTGCTTGCTGTCAAACGGGACAGGGTTGAGGATGTTCAAAGGATAGCTGGTGCAGCACAAAGACTTGGACAAACAGCTGTAAGAAATATTTGCAAGAAGTGGCTTGAACAGCACAAAAACTTGGACAAACAGCCGTAAAAAATACTGACCACCTGTGCCACTGACCACCTGTGTCACTGACCACCTGTGTTACTGACCACCTGTGTCACTGACCACCTGTGTCACTGACCACCTGTGCCACTGACCACCTGTGTCACTGACCATGTCACTGACCACCTGTGTCACTGACCACCTGTGTCACTGACCACCTGTGTCACTGACCACCTGTGCCACTGACCACCTGTGTCACTGACCATGTCACTGACCACCTGTGTCACTGACCACCTGTGCCACTGACCACCTGTGTCACTGACCACCTGTGTCACTGACCACCTGTGTCACTGACCACCTGTGTCACTGACCACCTGTGTCACTGACCACCTGTGTCACTGACCACCTGTGTCACTGACCACCTGTGTCACTGACCACCTGTGTCACTGACCATGTCACTGACCACCTGTGCCACTGACCCCCTGTGTCACTGACCATGTCACTGACCACCTGTGCCACTGACCCCCTGTGTCACTGACCACCTGTGTCACTGACCACCTGTGTCACTGACCACCTGTGTCACTGACCATCTGTGTCACTGACCACCTGTGTCACTGACCACCTGTGTCACTGACCACCTGTGTCACTGACCACCTGTGCCACTGACCACCTGTGTCACTGACCACCTGTGCCACTGACCACCTGTGCCACTGACCACCTGTGTCACTGACCACCTGTGTCACTGACCACCTGTGCCACTGACCACCTGTGCCACTGACCCCCTGTGTCACTGACCACCTGTGTCACTGACCACCTGTGTCACTGACCACCTGTGTCACTGACCACCTGTGTCACTGACCACCTGTGTCACTGACCACCTGTGTCACTGACCACCTGTGCCACTGACCACCTGTGTCACTGACCACCTGTGTCACTGACCACCTGTGTCACTGACCATGTCACTGACCACCTGTGTCACTGACCACCTGTGCCACTGACCACCTGTGCCACTGACCACCTGTGTCACTGACCACCTGTGCCACTGACCACCTGTGCCACTGACCACCTGTGTCACTGACCACCTGTGTCACTGACCACCTGTGCCACTGACCACCTGTGCCACTGACCCCCTGTGTCACTGACCACCTGTGCCACTGACCACCTGTGTCACTGACCATGTCACTGACCACCTGTGTCACTGACCACCTGTGCCACTGACCACCTGTGTCACTGACCATGTCACTGACCACCTGTGTCACTGACCACCTGTGTCACTGACCATGTCACTGACCACCTGTGCCACTGACCACCTGTGCCACTGACCACCTGTGTCACTGACCACCTGTGTCACTGACCACCTGTGTCACTGACCATGTCACTGACCACCTGTGCCACTGACCACCTGTGTCACTGACCACCTGTGTCACTGACCACCTGTGTCACTGACCATGCCACTGACCACCTGTGTCACTGACCACCTGTGCCACTGACCACCTGTGTCACTGACCACCTGTTCTGGCATCACTGACGTATGTGCAGGTGCATGTAGAAGACAGACCTATTTGAATTGTTTTAATTATTTCCATTTACTTTCGTATGTCCCTAAAATAAATGTAAAACAAATGTTACAAATCAATTCTTCATTTATTGTATTGACGATTAGACGAAGGACTAAGTTATGTACAATTCCAGCGTGAGATATAGACCTAGACGTTTTTTAAAATACTTGAATTTTAAAATAGAACTAGACTACCAGTTAACCTTGGATAACAGTGCCTTTTGGTGGAGGGGGGGTTGGGGGGGGGGGGGCTGGGGGTCATCCATAAATGATGTCATGTTTGTTTGATGATTTTTATCATTCGCCTCCCCACTGTCACACATCATCACAAAAAACCAGACCCATTTTAAACGACGCCACACCTCAGACAACATGTTTGTCTTTTAAAACTCCAATTTCAGTTGAGCATGGGTCTGACCACACTTACCCTTCATAAGTTGAGTACATAGAAACAGGCCAACTCTACTTTACCTGCCCAAGTCCAAAAGGCAACTTTATCATTCACATCTAAAAAGATCAGAAAGAAGTCACACACGTTTTTATCTTTTAAAAACAAATTTGTTTCTATATTTTCTGAGTTCAACCCTCATTAGAATAATAAGATGCTAACGTCAAACTAATATTAATGAATTAGAACCAATCACGAATCTTATTTTAATTAAGTTATATCCTCATTTAGACAATTCCATTACTGTAAAAAAAAAAGATTTATATAAAATAAATAAGACCTTAAATAGTTTAGTAGAGAAAGTATTCATTGTGTTATTGGCCTAATCTAGATCAGTAGTTCCCGAACTTTTTCGAGTGGCGACCTCCTTTTATTAAAAATAAGTGACCTACGATCCCATAATATAATTAAAAAATTGAAATCAATAAGCACTAAAAATAAGTTTTTCTAGTAGACTTTCAATATGAATTATTCTTGATCACTATTTTAATACGATGAGTAAAATTGCATGCTATTAACTAAACATCCGCTGTATAGTTTGTTTTTAACGCTAGCCTCACACACAGTCATACATCAGTCATAAAGTATAAAGCTTTATACACACAGTCATACATCAGTCATAAAGTATAAAGCTTTATACACACAGTCATTATCAACATTTATTTCTTTGTTTTGTTTTTAATTGGATAAGTTTCAAAACCCACTCTCACAGAAATATGTAGACACAAAAGAAACTAAAGCTCGAAAGGCAATCAGTTTCAAGTTTCGGTATAAATGGTGCATACTATACCAAAATTGTGTGAGCTGTTTTTCATCTGACGCCGAATCATTCCACGAATTCATCGGGAATGCTGGCAACATTGAGGGAAGCAGAGAATAGGTAACGTATCAATGCAGATTCTTCTTCTTTCAGCTCATGGAAAATAATGCCGCTGTTCGTTTTCAAGAGATTCAAATTGCCCAGAATCCTCTTTCAAAATTTTATTTATTTCACAATCAGATTCATCTACCACACTGCAGAATTTCTCAAACAGCGATATTTCCAAGATTTATTTTCTTCGCCAATTTTGCAGATTTGATAAAAATGCTCAGAGATTATCAAGAGAAGAGATTAAAAAGATCAATCGTTTCTTTTCCCTGAAGCTTCAGGTTAAGCTTATGTTGATGTTCAAATATATCTGCTAGGTTTGCTGGTCTCTCCAACTACTCTTGGTTGTTAACATTAATGTCCCGTAACGCCCGCTGCCGCCCGCTTACAATACGCTTAGAAAAATTAAATTTGTTTCATCAAAATATGGCCTACAAATCCTAATTTTTAACTAAACAGGAAGTCGGATAGTTTCAGCATCCTTTTCCGGTCTTCTAATTTAAATGGCGCTTTTGAAAGATAAAAAAATAATAGTTTCTTTCTATCTCGAAATTTTAGACCAGGGGTCGGCAACCTGCGGCTCGCGAGCCGCATGCGGCTCTTTTGATATCAAGATGCGGCTCTCCAGCTCCCGGAACAAATACTAATAATCTTAATGAAAAAATAAAATATTTGAAATTAAAAAAATGTTAGTGGCTCTTTAAAACCAGGGAAATTTTGAAAATTGTAACTTTTGGCTCATCCGCTTCAAAAGGTTGCCGACCCCTGGCTTAGACCTGCGGCTCTTTTGGTGTCCAGTTGCGGCTCTGCATCTTCATGCACAAATATTAATATTTATTTTATTTTCAAAACTCATAAAAATATTAGTCTGCAACATTCGGTAATAAACGATATAACATAATATTATTATATAAACAATAAACATTCACTATTATATTAGAATATTTAGTTACTCCCTATCTCAATGTACTTCCATTCCGAATTAAAACATTCAGCTTCATAGTTGATATCACAAAGAAACTAAACCAGCTAAGTGTAAAACTGAAAGGAAAGCCCAGCCTATATTCATGATATCTTGCTTGAAGAAGTGGTTTGTTTCGAAAATACTTTTTTGTTGAATACATGGTGAGCGGTAAATTACTTAATTACGAAAAAATCTGAACAATTATCGTCATAAAACCAATGCTACTACTCAATCACTTCAGCATTAATATAAACAAAATGAAGGACGTTTTCACTGATAGATTTGAGCTATTCAAAACAAATGCAAGAACTCTGACTTACGTAGTAGATCCTCTCAACACAAATTCAAATGTGATTATTTCATATATTCAAAGCTATTTATTTTAAATTACATATATAATATGATATTTGTTTAGGATTGTATATATATATATATATATATATAATCCTTAACAAATATACTCTTGACATAAAAATGTTAGTGGCTCTTTAAAAACCGGGTAATGTTGTAAATTGTAACTTTTGGCTCTTTCGGCTCAAAAGGTTGCCGACCCCTGTTTTAGACTCATCTGTCCTATTTTTAGTAGATTTAATATTAAAAATAAAATAATGCCTCTAAATTTATCTAGGCATGTATTTTATGAATTATATATCTTAAACATAACCAAATTGATATTTAACTTAAATTCGATGCATAGTTGTTTAGACAAAAATAAATAAAGTTGACTACCGAAAATGACCTGTTTTGAATTTTCTCCGACATTTTTTATTTTTATACTTACTATAATTTATACTGTACTTGTACCGAATATAATATATTCTATTTAATACTGTTGGAAAGCCAGGTTTATTCCCAACACTAAGCAGTAGTTTTTATCTTAATTTTCAATTTCATTTAGACAAAAACAAATATTTTGTGAAACTATTCACTTGATCATACAGAGTTATGCTCCTTACTTGGGCCGTCATGGGTGGAGTTTTGGTAGAATGAATGGGACATTAATTAAAGTATATCAAAAGGTCTTCCAAGAAAAACTTGATTTCATCTTTCACTTCAAAAACACGATCCACAACATCTCGTTTGACAGCCAGCGTTTTGTAGTGTAGAAAAGCAGAACCTTGTGATCTTGATTCATGTCTTTGACTGTTCTTTAAACAAACGGGTGCTTAGCGCTCAACATTTAATATAATTTACGACTTTTATTAGTAATGAAGTCGGAAGAATCTTGCTGGCGAGGGCATACCGGTAAATTATGCAGTGGATTCCCCTTGATTAGGGAGCTAAGTCTTTTACTGTTTTCTGAAAGCCCGATTTTGACCTAAACGTAGATGTCACACAATCCGTACAAACCCCACTGACGTTTACGTATTTTGATCAAATACTTTCAAAAAATGTATTTATTTTCTCCATATCTTCACAAAATAGCAGCTCTTCTTTGCTATCTGAATGAATATATTTCACAAAGACAATCAAATGCGAAAACGAACTCATGTCTATTGATTCATCAACTTGAAAAGCAAACAATGGTGAAAGCTTGATTTAATTCAAATTGAGTTACAATATTTGCCACATGTCCACAAACATTGTGAACAAATTGAGTTACAATATTTGCCCCTCCACAAACATTGTGAACGAATTGAGTTACAATATTTGCCACATGTCCACAAACATTGTGAACAAATTGAGTTACAATATTTGCCATATGTCCACAAACATTGTGAACAAATTGAGTTACAATATTTGCCACATGTCCACAAACATTGTGAACATATTGAGTTACAATATTTGCCCCTCCACAAACATTGTGAACGAATTGAGTTACAATATTTGCCACATGTCCACAAACATTGTGAACAAAATAAAAGCTTTTAGAAAAGAAATTTATTTAAACAGCTAACTATAAATTAAACATAGTAAATAGACAATGTGATAGAGCCACTTGAATTAAATCTAAAGATATACATCAGCCAATAGAAAGATACACTTTTAATTTAGATCTATTTATAAATAAATAAACCCTAAGACTTCACTAAGACTAAAACTTTGGGAATGTTTTCCTTAATAATGCGTGTTCCTTTCAAATATTGTCTGAATGTACTAGTAGCATGGAGAGGCCTGAGTGGTAGTCTGCCAAATTTCATGACCTTCTATTGATCAGTTTGTTTTTTAATGTATAGCTGTCAAGTGGTGCTACTTTATTGGCATAGAAAACTTCTATTGTATTCCCTCACCCAAAAATATATTTTTACATATTGCACGAAGTAACAGGCTAACCATCCTGTGACAGGCTAGAGCTGACCATCCTGTGACAGGCTAGAGCTGACCATCCTGTGACAGGCTAGAGCTGACCATCCTGTGACAGGCTAGAGCTGACCATCCAGTGACAGGCTAGAGCTGACCATCCTGTGACAGGCTAGAGTTGACCATCCTGTGACAGGCTAGAGCTGACCATCCTGTGACAGGCTAGAGCTGACCATCCAGTGACAGGCTAGAGCTGACCATCCTGTGACAGGCTAGAGCTGACCATCCTGTGACAGGCTAGAGCTGACCATCCTGTGACAGGCTAGAGCTGACCATCCTGTGACAGGCTAGAGCTGACCATCCTGTGACAGGCTAGAGCTGACCATCCTGTGACAGGCTAGAGCTGACCATCCAGTGACAGGCTAGAGCTGACCATCCTGTGACAGGCTAGAGCTGACCATCCTGTGACAGGCTGACCATCCTGTGACAGGCTAGAGCTGACCATCCTGTGACAGGCTAGAGCTGACCATCCTGTGACAGGCTGACCATCCTGTGACAGGCTAGAGCTGACCATCCTGTGACAGGCTAGAGCTGACCATCCTGTGACAGGCTAGAGCTGACCATCCTGTGACAGGCTAGAGCTGACCATCCAGTGACAGGCTAGAGCTGACCATCCTGTGACAGGCTAGAGCTGACCATCCTGTGACAGGCTGACCATCCTGTGACAGGCTAGAGCTGACCATCCTGTGACAGGCTAGAGCTGACCATCCTGTGACAGGCTAGAGCTGACCATCCTGTGACAGGCTAGAGCTGACCATCCTGTGACAGGCTAGAGCTGACCATCCTGTGACAGGCTAGAGCTGACCATCCTGTGACAGGCTAGAGCTGACCATCCTGTGACAGGCTAGAGCTGACCATCCAGTGACAGGCTAGAGCTGACCATCCTGTGACAGGCTAGAGCTGACCATCCTGTGACAGGCTAGAGCTGACCATCCTGTGACAGGCTAGAGCTGACCATCCTGTGACAGGCTAGAGCTGACCATCCTGTGACAGGCTAGAGCTGACCATCCTGTGACAGGCTAGAGCTGACCATCCTGTGACAGGCTAGAGCTGACCATCCTGTGACAGGCTAGAGCTGACCATCCTGTGACAGGCTAGAGCTGACCATCCTGTGACAGGCTAGAGCTGACCATCCTGTGACAGGCTAGAGCTGACCATCCTGTGACAGGCTAGAGCTGACCATCCTGTGACAGGCTAGAGCTGACCATCCTGTGACAGGCTAGAGTTGACCATCCTGTGACAGGCTGACCATCCTGTGACAGGCTAGAGCTGACCATCCTGTGACAGGCTAGAGCTGACCATCCTGTGACAGGCTAGAGCTGACCATCCTGTGACAGGCTGACCATCCTGTGACAGGCTAGAGCTGACCATCCTGTGACAGGCTAGAGCTGACCATCCTGTGACAGGCTAGAGCTGACCATCCTGTGACAGGCTAGAGCTGACCATCCTGTGACAGGCTGACCATCCTGTGACAGGCTAGAGCTGACCATCCTGTGACAGGCTAGAGCTGACCATCCTGTGACAGGCTAGAGCTGACCATCCAGTGACAGGCTAGAGCTGACCATCCTGTGACAGGCTAGAGCTGACCATCCTGTGACAGGCTGACCATCCTGTGACAGGCTAGAGCTGACCATCCTGTGACAGGCTAGAGCTGACCATCCTGTGACAGGCTAGAGCTGACCATCCTGTGACAGGCTAGAGCTGACCATCCTGTGACAGGCTAGAGCTGACCATCCTGTGACAGGCTAGAGCTGACCATCCTGTGACAGGCTAGAGCTGACCATCCTGTGACAGGCTGACCATCCTGTGACAGGCTAGAGCTGACCATCCTGTGACAGGCTGACCATCCTGTGACAGGCTAGAGCTGACCATCCTGTGACAGGCTAGAGCTGACCATCCTGTGACAGGCTAGAGCTGACCATCCTGTGACAGGCTAGAGCTGACCATCCTGTGACAGGCTAGAGCTGACCATCCTGTGACAGGCTAGAGCTGACCATCCTGTGACAGGCTAGAGCTGACCATCCTGTGACAGGCTAGAGTTGACCATCCTGTGACAGGCTAGAGCTGACCATCCTGTGACAGGCTAGAGCTGACCATCCTGTGACAGGCTGACCATCCTGTGACAGGCTAGAGCTGACCATCCTGTGACAGGCTAGAGCTGACCATCCTGTGACAGGCTAGAGCTGACCATCCTGTGACAGGCTAGAGCTGACCATCCTGTGACAGGCTGACCATCCTGTGACAGGCTAGAGCTGACCATCCTGTGACAGGCTAGAGCTGACCATCCTGTGACAGGCTAGAGCTGACCATCCTGTGACAGGCTAGAGCTGACCATCCTGTGACAGGCTGACCATCCTGTGACAGGCTAGAGCTGACCATCCTGTGACAGGCTAGAGCTGACCATCCTGTGACAGGCTGACCATCCTGTGACAGGCTAGAGCTAACCATCCTGTGACAGGCTGACCATCCTGTGACAGGCTGACCATCCTGTGACAGGCTAGAGCTGACCATCCTGTGACAGGCTAGAGCTGACCATCCTGTGACAGGCTAGAGCTGACCATCCTGTGACAGGCTGACCATCCTGTGACAGGCTAGAGCTGACCATCCTGTGACAGGCTAGAGCTGACCATCCTGTGACAGGCTAGAGCTGACCATCCTGTGACAGGCTAGAGCTGACCATCCTGTGACAGGCTAGAGCTGACCATCATGTGACAGGCTAGAGCTGACCATCCTGTGACAGGCTGACCATCCTGTGACAGGCTAGAGCTGACCATCCTGTGACAGGCTAGAGCTGACCATCCTGTGACAGGCTAGAGCTGACCATCCTGTGACAGGCTAGAGCTGACCATCCTGTGACAGGCTGACCATCCTGTGACAGGCTAGAGCTGACCATCCTGTGACAGGCTAGAGCTGACCATCCTGTGACAGGCTAGAGCTGACCATCCTGTGACAGGCTAGAGCTGACCATCCTGTGACAGGCTAGAGCTGACCATCCTGTGACAGGCTAGAGCTGAACATCCTGTGACAGGCTAGAGCTGACCATCCTGTGACAGGCTAGAGCTGACCATCCTGTGACAGGCTAGAGCTGACCATCCTGTGACAGGCTAGAGCTGACCATCCTGTGACAGGCTGACCATCCTGTGACAGGCTAGAGCTGACCATCCTGTGACAGGCTAGAGCTGACCATCCTGTGACAGGCTGACCATCCTGTGACAGGCTAGAGCTGACCATCCTGTGACAGGCTAGAGCTGACCATCCTGTGACAGGCTAGAGCTGACCATCCTGTGACAGGCTGACCATCCTGTGACAGGCTAGAGCTGACCATCCTGTGACAGGCTAGAGCTGACCATCCTGTGACAGGCTAGAGCTGACCATCCTGTGACAGGCTAGAGCTGACCATCCTGTGACAGGCTAGAGCTGACCATCCTGTGACAGGCTAGAGCTGACCATCCTGTGACAGGCTAGAGCTGAACATCCTGTGACAGGCTAGAGCTGACCATCCTGTGACAGGCTGACCATCCTGTGACAGGCTAGAGCTGACCATCCTGTGACAGGCTAGAGCTGACCATCCTGTGACAGGCTAGAGCTGACCATCCTGTGACAGGCTAGAGCTGACCATCCTGTGACAGGCTAGAGCTGACCATCCTGTGACAGGCTGACCATCCTGTGACAGGCTAGAGCTGACCATCCTGTGACAGGCTGACCATCCTGTGACAGGCTAGAGCTGACCATCCTGTGACAGGCTAGAGCTGACCATCCTGTGACAGGCTAGAGCTGACCATCCTGTGACAGGCTAGAGCTGACCATCCTGTGACAGGCTAGAGCTGACCATCCTGTGACAGGCTGACCATCCTGTGACAGGCTAGAGCTGACCATCCTGTGACAGGCTGACCATCCTGTGACAGGCTAGAGCTGACCATCCTGTGACAGGCTAGAGCTGACCATCCTGTGACAGGCTAGAGCTGACCATCCTGTGACAGGCTAGAGCTGACCATCCTGTGACAGGCTAGAGCTAACCATCCTGTGACAGGCTGACCATCCTGTGACAGGCTGACCATCCTGTGACAGGCTAGAGCTGACCATCCTGTGACAGGTTAGAGCTGACCATCCTGTGACAGGCTAGAGCTGACCATCCTGTGACAGGCTAGAGCTGACCATCTTGTGACAGGCTAGAGCCGACCATCCTGTGACAGGCTGACCATCCTGTGACAGGCTAGAGCCGACCATCCTTGTATCGCAGCATCTCTGACACAACATTATTTTTCACTCCATCTCCAGAATCTGACAGTAGGGCTTTATGTAAACTGAAATAAATGAATAAATCTGACAGTAGGGCTTTATGTAAACTGAAATAAATGAATCAATCGGACAGTAGGGCTTTATGTAAACTGAAATAAATGAATCAATCGGACAGTAGGGCTTTATGTAAACTGAAATAAATGAATCAATCGGACAGTAGGGCTTTATGTAAACTGAAATAAATGAATCAATCGGACAGTAGGGCTTTATGTAAACTGAAATAAGTGAATCAATCGGACAGTAGGGCTTTATGTAAACTGAAATAAATGAATCAATCGGACAGTAGGGCTTTATGTAAACTGAAATAAATGAATCAATCTGACAGTAGGGCTTTATGTAAACTGAAATAAATGAATCTATCTGACAGTAGGGCTTTATGTAAACTGAAATAAATGAATCAATCGGACAGTAGGGCTTTATGTAAACTGAAATAAATGAATCAATCGGACAGTAGGGCTTTATGTAAACTGAAATAAATGAATCAATCTGACAGTAGGGCTTTATGTAAACTGAAATAAATGAATCAATCGCACAGTAGGGCTTTATGTAAACTGAAATAAATGAATAAATCGGACAGTAGGGCTTTATGTAAACTGAAATAAATGAATAAATCGGACAGTAGGGCTTTATGTAAACTGAAATAAATGAATCAATCGAACAGAAGCGCTTTATGTAAACTGAAATAAATGAATCAATCGGACAGTAGGGCTTTATGTAAACTGAAATAAATGAATAAATCGGACAGTAGCGCTTTATGTAAACTGAAATAAATGAATCAATCGCACAGTAGGGCTTTATGTAAACTGAAATAAATGAATCAATCTGACAGTAGGGCTTTATGTAAACTGAAATAAATGAATCAATCTGACAGTAGGGCTTTATGTAAACTGAAATAAATGAATAAATCTGACAGTAGGGCTTTATGTAAACTGAAATAAATGAATCAATCGGACAGTAGGGCTTTATGTAAACTGAAATAAATGAATCAATCGGACAGTAGGGCTTTATGTAAACTGAAATAAATGAATCAATCGGACAGTAGGGCTTTATGTAAACTGAAATAAATGAATCAATCGGACAGTAGGGCTTTATGTAAACTGAAATAAGTGAATCAATCGGACAGTAGGGCTTTATGTAAACTGAAATAAATGAATCAATCGGACAGTAGGGCTTTATGTAAACTGAAATAAATGAATCAATCGGACAGTAGGGCTTTATGTAAACTGAAATAAATGAATCAATCTGACAGTTTAAAAATTAAACTGAAATAAATGAATTGGATAAGACAACTGGGTAGGAAAATAGCTTACTTGTAAACTAGTTTGGTTTCTCCAATTTCCTGCAGTAGAAGATTGAGCTTCTGAACTAGCTTGTCACGTTCATCTCTAGTGATCTGAAGCTTCACCTGTAGAGTGGACAACCTAGATTGGACATGTTGGGTCAATCTAGACTGGACATGTTGGGTCAATCTAGACTGGACATGTTGGGTGTACCTAGACTGGACATGTTGGGTCAATCTAGACTGGACATGTTGGGTCAATCTAGACTGGACATGTTGGGTGTACCTAGACTGGACATGTTGGGTCAATCTAGACTGGACATGTTGGGTCAATCTAGACTGGACATGTTGGGTCAATCTAGACTGGACATGTTGGGTGTACCTAGACTGGACATGTTGGGTCAACCTAGACTGGACATGTTGGGTCAATCTAGACTTGACATGTTGGGTGTACCTAGACTGGACATGTTGGGTCAATCTAGACTGGACATGTTGGGTCAACCTAGACTGGACATGTTGGGTCAACCTAGACTGGACATGTTGGGTCAATCTAGACTGGACATGTTGGGTCAACCTAGACTGGACATGTTGGGTCAATCTAGACTGGACATGTTGGGTCAACCTAGACTGGACATGTTGGGTCAACCTAGACTGGACATGTTGGGTCAATCTAGACTGGACATGTTGGGTGTACCTAGACTGGACATGTTGGGTCAATCTAGACTGGACATGTTGGGTCAATCTAGACTGGACATGTTGGGTGTACCTAGACTGGACATGTTGGGTGTACCTAGACTGGACATGTTGGGTCAATCTAGACTGGACATGTTGGGTGTACCTAGACTGGACATGTTGGGTCAATCTAGACTGGACATGTTGGGTCAATCTAGACTGGACATGTTGGGTGTACCTAGACTGGACATGTTGGGTCAATCTAGACTGGACATGTTGGGTGTACCTAGACTGGACATGTTGGGTCAACCTAGACTGGACATGTTGGGTCAATCTAGACTGGACATGTTGGGTGTACCTAGACTGGACATGTTGGGTCAATCTAGACTGAACATGTTGGGTCAACCTAGACTGGACATATAAAGTTACACAATTTCATGAGGATACTGACCAGAAGTTTGTTGTCTGGGCTGTAGTGGCCAGACAACTCTAGGCTTGACAACTGTTTCTCCAGCTGTACAACCTGTCAGAAACATTCAGTACAACCTGTCAGAAACATTCAGTACAACCTGTCAGAAACATTCAGTACAACCTGTCAGAAACATTCAGTACAACCTGTCAGAAACATTCAGTACAACCTGTCAGAAACATTCAGTACAACCTGTCAGAAACATTCAGTACAACCTGTCAGAAACATTCAGTACAACCTGTCAGAAACATTCAGTACAACCTGTCAGAAACATTCAGTACAACCTGTCAGAAACATTCAGTACAACATATGACACTAGCACAGCACACCTTTTGTCTTGCCTCGTCCCTCTGCTCTAGAACTCCCTGCATTTCCTCCTGCATGATTTCACGTTGTCTGGCCACAAGCTGGGATAACTCACTTTCTCCTACCTTAAGTTTGATTCATGGATTGGGATAATTATTATTATAGCTGTAAACTTACAGTAGTGCAGCAGGTAAACTTACATTAGTGCAGCAGGTAAACTTACATTAGTGCAGGTAAACTTACATTAGTGCAGCAGGTAAACTTACAGTAGTGCAGCAGGTAAACTTACATTAGTGCAGCAGGTAAACTTACATTAGTGCAGGTAAACTTACATTAGTGCAGCAGGTAAACTTACAGTAGTGCAGCAGGTAAACTTACATTAGTGCAGCAGGTAAACTTACATTAGTGCAGCAGGTAAACTTACATTAGTGCAGCAGGTAAACTTACATTAGTGCAGCAGGTAAACTTACATTAGTGCAGGTAAACTTACAGTAGTGCAGCAGGTAAACTTACATTAGTGCAGCAGGTAAACTTACATTAGTGCAGGTAAACTTACATTAGTGCAGCAGGTAAACTTACATTAGTGCAGCAGGTAAACTAACATTAGTGCAGCAGGTAAACTTACATTAGTGCAGCAGGTAAACTTACATTAGTGCAGCAGGTAAACTTACATTAGTGCAGCAGGTAAACTTACATTAGTGCAGCAGGTAAACTTACATTAGTGCAGCAGGTAAACTTACATTAGTGCGGCAGGTAAAGTTACATTAGTGCAGCAGGTAAACTTACATTAGTGCAGGTAAACTTACATTGGTGCAGCAGGTAAACTTACATTAGTGCAGCAGGTAAACTTACATTAGTGCAGCAGGTAAACTTACATTAGTGCAGCAGGTAAACTTACATTAGTGCAGCAGGTAAACTTACTTTAGTGCAGCAGGTAAACTTACATTAGTGCAGCAGGTAAACTTACATTAGTGCAGCAGGTAAACTTACATTAGTGCAGCAGGTAAACTTACATTAGTGCAGAAGGTAAACTTACATTAGTGCAGCAGGTAAACTTACATTAGTGCAGCAGGTAAACTTACTTTAGTGCAGCAGGTAAACTTACATTAGTGCAGCAGGTAAACTTACATTAGTGCAGCAGGTAAACTTACATTAGTGCAGCAGGTAAACTTACATTAGTGCAGGTAAACTTACATTAGTGCAGCAGGTAAACTTACATTAGTGCAGCAGGTAAACTTACATTAGTGCAGGTAAACTTACATTAGTGTAGCAGGTAAACTTACATTAGTGCAGCAGGTAAACTTACATTAGTGCAGGTAAACTTACATTAGTGTAGCAGGTAAACTTACATTAGTGCAGCAGGTAAACTTACATTAGTGCAGCAGGTAAACTTACATTAGTGTAGGTAAACTTACATTATTGTAGCAACTTTCGTATCTGAAATGTGAGAGACATCTTTCAAGTAGATAATGTTGAATGGAAAGTAGAGAACACAGGGTGAAAAGTAGATTATGTTGATTGGAAAGTAGATAGCATAGGGTGAAAAGTAGATGGTGGAAAGTAGATAACAGGGTGAAAAGTAGATTATGTTGATTGGAAAGTAGATAGCATAGGGTGAAAAGTAGATGGTGGAAAGTAGATAACAGGGTGAAAAGTAGATTATGTTGATTGGAAAGTAGATAGCCAGAGGCGTATCCAGGTTTTCGTTGTAGGGGGAGTGAAAAGAGCAAAAAAAGGCGCCGAATTTTTAACACGTTCTATATACGTGTATTATATATATATATATATATATATATATATATATATAATTACTAGCTGTATGTCATTACTTCGCAATGATGTAAAATAAATTGAAAGTAGCACTCTGAAGAAAAAAGAAAAAAACACACAATGTAGGCCGACAAAACAAAAAATGTATCAATCTAAACAAAAACAAAAAAATATATACACACACTAAAACCAAAAACAATGAACGAAACACATTCTGTTTTGTAATTCTTGTAAAAAAAATTCTTACATAATAATGCCTGGGAAATTATTTAAGACAAGTGAAATAGGGGAAATAATCACTCTCTTAATATAAATATGTATATATCTACACATTTAATTATAAATGTCAAAACAAATAAATAATTAATTTAGAATATAATGAAATTGTTTAACGCTATTCGTGTTTACAAAATGTTTTTGTCTATAAACAGAATTTAATATATCGTCATCATAAATGCTAAAGTATTACAGCATAATGAAAGTTTTTAAAATCAGAGTTGGTATAAAACCACGCTTTTTGAAATGGTAGGAAAACAATTGGAATAACAGCCTACTTTTAACTAAATATCCGTCTTTTGCTTCAGATCATATATTTTTAATTAACTACTGCTTCTTTGTGTTCTTTAAAGATCATTTTTAACATAGTGATAGGTATGGGTTAGATCACTGTATTGATCACACACCATTTTACTGGTAATTGCAAAAACAATATTCACAGAGTTATACGTTTAAAAAGCTAATTTTCTGGCGGCATGGTACTTTGGTACATCATTACGCGTTTTTCTACATGTACTTAACAGATCAGTTCGGGGTGGGTTGGGGGGGGGGTTGTTGGTTCAACTTCAGTCACCACTGTCCGTTCACGGTCAATTATCCTACCCAGTGTATACCTAGGTGTGACATTAATGTCGCTCTACACAATTGTAGCGGTGAGGTGTGTGTGGGGGGGGGGAAGAGAGATAACCAACTCAGAGTGAACATAGCGTCAGTTTTTAGATGACTGTTCTAAACATACATATATATTACACAAATATATATTACACAAATATATATTACAGAAATAGATTTAAATAAGTAGCAGTGGTATTATGACAATTTTGTTTTTACAGAGGGGTCCATGGGGAGGGGGGTTGTAACTGTTTCATTTAATTTGTAATCGTAATCACTATCACCCAAACTGTAAGAATACTACTACTTCATCGTGATGACGTTGTTGACCTTGTCAAAATTTCCCCACCACTACGCAGTTTGCTCATAAGTAAATTTAAATAGAGGTGCCACATCAGTTGTATTTGTTTCTGTATTGTAATTTTTAAAAAAATTAATCACACGATTCAAACTGTATATATAAAGTAATTATGTGTGAAGTTTTATGTATAACATTTTCTAATTCAATTATTCGTAAGCAAATACATTATACAGTTGCCTTAAACTTAACACCCCTCTTGCCAAGTGGTACTACCCGTAGAGGTTTTTTAAACATTGCAATGCATCGTAATGGTTATTTTTACATTGGCAAACTGATGCAGCTGTTAATACGTGTTGTAAATGTAGACACTACTAGACTAGTACAATAATGCTTAATTGCTGCATGAAAAGAAATCTTGTGATTTACATAGATGTGCCGACCAAAAATATTTTTTAACAAATATCATTGTTTAAAACTTTGAGTTTAAAAAGTTTCCAAAAAGGCGCCACTTTGCTGAAAATGGCCAGAGGGGGAGCGGCCGCTCCCCCTGCGTACGCTACTGTAGATAGCATAGGGTGAAAAGTAGATGGTGGAAAGTAGATAACATAGGGTGAAAAGTAGATAGTGGAAAGTAGATATTGTAGGTTGTAAAGAAGAAAACTCCTCACTTGGATGATATTCTGGTCAGATCTCCTAGAGCGGCCATCTTGTCGGCCTCTGCAGATTGGACCATCATGACCAGCGCAGCTTCTCTCTGTTTTTCTGCTGATCTCAGCTCCTCAATCAGACCTGTCCAAACATTTAAGTCTCATCTGACAAATCTCCCTAAAACCTCTCCAAGTCTCATCTCACAAATCTCCCTAAAACCTGTACAAACATTTAAGTCTCATCTGACAAATCTCCCTAAAACCTGTCCAAACATTTAAGTCTCATCTGACAAATCTCCCTAAAACCTGTCCAAACATTTAAGTCTCATCTGACAAATCTCCCTAAAACCTCTCCAAGTCTCATCTGACAAATCTCCCTAAAACCTGTCCAAACATTTAAGTCTCATCTGACAAATCTCCCTAAAACCTGTCCAAACATTTAAGTCTCATCTGACAAATCTCCCTAAAACCTGTCCAAACATTTAAGTCTCATCTGACAAATCTCCCTAAAACCTGTCCAAACATTTAAGTCTCATCTGACAAATCTCCCTAAAACCTGTCCAAACATTTAAGTCTCATCTGACAAATCTCCCTAAAACCTCTCCAAGTCTCATCTGACAAATCTCCCTAAAACCTGTCCAAACATTTAAGTCTCATCTGACAAATCTCCCTAAAACCTGTCCAAACATTCAAGTCTCATCTGACTAGTCTCCCTAAAACCTCTCCAAGTCTCATCTGACAAATCTCCCTAAAACCTGTCCAAACATTTAAGTCTCATCTGACTAATCTCCCTAAAACCTCTCCAAGTCTCATCTGACAAATCTCCCTAAAACCTGTCCAAACATTTAAGTCTCATCTGACAAATCTCCCTAAAAGCTCTCCAAGTCTCATCTGACAAATCTTCCTAAAACCTGTCCAAACATTTAAGTATCATCTGACAAATCTCCCTAAAACCTGTCCAAACATTTAAGTCTCATCTGACAAATCTCCCTAAAACCTCTCCAAGTCTCATCTGACAAATCTCCCTAAAACCTGTCCAAACATTTAAGTCTCATCTGACAAATCTCCCTAAAACCTGTCCAAACATTTAAGTCTCATCTGACAAATCTCCCTAAAACCTGTACAAACATTTTAGTCTCATCTCACAAATCTCCCTAAAACCTGTCCAAACATTTAAGTCTCATCTGACAAATCTCCCTAAAACCTCTCCAAGTCTCATCTGACAAATCTCCCTAAAACCTGTCCAAACATTTAAGTCTCATCTGACAAATCTCCCTAAAACCTGTGCAAACATTTAAGTCTCATCTGACAAATCTCCCTAAAACCTGTCCAAACATTTAAGTCTCATCTGACAAATCTCCCTAAAACCTGTACAAACATTTTAGTCTCATCTGACAAATCTCCCTAAAACCTGTCCAAACATTCAAGTCTCATCCGACAAATCTCCCTAAAACCTCTCCAAGTCTCATCTGACAAATCTCCCTAAAACCTGTCCAAACATTTAAGTCTCATCTGACAAATCTCCCTAAAACCTCTCCAAGTCTCATCTGACAAATCTCCCTAAAACCTGTCCAAACATTTAAGTCACATCTGACAAATCTCCCTAAAACCTGTCCAAACATTTAAGTCTCATCTGACAAATCTCCCTAAAACCTGTCCAAACATTCAAGTCTCATCTGACTAATCTCCCTAAAACCTCTCCAAGTCTCATCTGACAAATCTCCCTAAAACCTGTCCAAACATTTAAGTCTCATCTGACAAATCTCCCTAAAACCTGTCCAAACATTTAAGTCTCATCTGACAAATCTCCCTAAAACCTCTCCAAGTCTCATCTGACAAATCTCCCTAAAACCTGTCCAAACATTTAAGTCTCATCTGACAAATCTCCCTAAAACCTGTCCAAACATTTAAGTCTCATCTGACAAATCTCCCTAAAACCTCTCCAAGTCTCATCTGACAAATCTCCCTAAAACCTGTCCAAACATTTAAGTCTCATCTGACAAATCTCCCTAAAACCTGTCCAAACATTCAAGTCTCATCTGACTAATCTCCCTAAAACCTCTCCAAGTCTCATCTGACAAATCTCCCTAAAACCTGTCCAAACATTTAAGTCTCATCTGACAAATCTCCCTAAAACCTCTCCAAGTCTCATCTGACAAATCTCCCTAAAACCTGTCCAAACATTTAAGTCTCATCTGACAAATCTCCCTAAAACCTGTCCAAACATTCAAGTCTCATCTGACTAATCTCCCTAAAACCTCTCCAAGTCTCATCTGACAAATCTCCCTAAAACCTGTCCAAACATTTAAGTCTCATCTGACAAATCTCCCTAAAACCTGTCCAAACATTTAAGTCTCATCTGACAAATCTCCCTAAAACCTGTCCAAACATTTAAGTCTCATCTGACAAATCTCCCTAAAACCTCTCCAAGTCTCATCTGACAAATCTCCCTAAAACCTGTCCAAACATTTAAGTCTCATCTGACAAATCTCCCTAAAACCTGTCCAAACATTTAAGTCTCATCTGACAAATCTCCCTAAAACCTGTCCAAACATTCAAGTCTCATCTGACTAATCTCCCTAAAACCTCTCCAAGTCTCATCTGACAAATCTCCCTAAAACCTGTCCAAACATTTAAGTCTCATCTGACAAATCTCCCTAAAACCTGTGCAAACATTTAAGTCTCATCTGACAAATCTCCCTAAAACCTGTCCAAACATTTAAGTCTCATCTGACAAATCTCCCTAAAACCTGTACAAACATTTTAGTCTCATCTGACAAATCTCCCTAAAACCTGTCCAAACATTCAAGTCTCATCTGACAAATCTCCCTAAAACCTCTCCAAGTCTCATCTGACAAATCTCCCTAAAACCTGTCCAAACATTTAAGTCTCATCTGACAAATCTCCCTAAAACCTGTACAAACATTTTAGTCTCATCTGACAAATCTCCCTAAAACCTGTCCAAACATTTTAGTCTCATCTCACAAATCTCCCTAAAACCTCTCCAAGTCTCATCTGACAAATCTCCCTAAAACCTGTCAAAACATTTAAGTCTGATCTGACAAATCTCCCTAAAACCTGTCCAAACATTTAAGTCTCATCTGACAAATCTCCCTAAAACCTCTCCAAGTCTCATCTGACAAATCTCCCTAAAACCTGTCCAAACATTTAAGTCTCATCTGACAAATCTCCCTAAAACCTGTCCAAACATTTTAGTCTCATCTCACAAATCTCCCTAAAACCTGTCCAAACATTTAAGTCTCATCTGACAAATCTCCCTAAAACCTCTCCAAGTCTCATCTGACAAATCTCCCTAAAACCTGTCCAAACATTTAAGTCTCATCTGACAAATCTCCCTAAAACCTGTCCAAACATTTAAGTCTCATCTGACAAATCTCCCTAAAACCTCTCCAAGTCTCATCTGACAAATCTCCCTAAAACCTGTCCAAACATTTAAGTCTCATCTGACAAATCTCCCTAAAACCTCTCCAAGTCTCATCTGACAAATCTCCCTAAAACCTGTCCAAACATTTAAGTCTCATCTGACAAATCTCCCTAAAACCTGTCCAAACATTTAAGTCTCATCTGACAAATCTCCCTAAAACCTCTCCAAGTCTCATCTGACAAATCTCCCTAAAACCTGTCCAAACATTTAAGTCTCATCTGACAAATCTCCCTAAAACCTGTCCAAACATTTTAGTCTCATCTCACAAATCTCCCTAAAACCTGTCCAAAGTCTCATCTGACAAATCTCCCTAAAACCTGTCCAAACATTTAAGTCTCATCTGACTAATCTCCCTAAAACCTCTCCAAGTCTCATCTGACAAATCTCCCTAAAACCTGTCCAAACATTTAAGTCTCATCTGACAAATCTCCCTAAAAGCTCTCCAAGTCTCATCTGACAAATCTTCCTAAAACCTGTCCAAACATTTAAGTATCATCTGACAAATCTCCCTAAAACCTGTCCAAACATTTAAGTCTCATCTGACAAATCTCCCTAAAACCTCTCCAAGTCTCATCTGACAAATCTCCCTAAAACCTGTCCAAACATTTAAGTCTCATCTGACAAATCTCCCTAAAACCTGTGCAAACATTTAAGTCTCATCTGACAAATCTCCCTAAAACCTGTACAAACATTTTAGTCTCATCTGACAAATCTCCCTAAAACCTGTCCAAACATTCAAGTCTCATCTGACAAATCTCCCTAAAACCTCTCCAAGTCTCATCTGACAAATCTCCCTAAAACCTGTCCAAACATTTAAGTCTCATCTGACAAATCTCCCTAAAACCTGTACAAACATTTTAGTCTCATCTGACAAATCTCCCTAAAACCTGTCCAAACCTTTAAGTCTCATCTGACAAATCTCCCTAAAACCTCTCCAAGTCTCATCTGACAAATCTCCCTAAAACCTGTCCAAACATTTAAGTCTCATCTGACAAATCTCCCTAAAACCTGTCCAAACATTTAAGTCTCATCTGACAAATCTCCCTAAAACCTGTCCAAACATTCAAGTCTCATCTGACTAATCTCCCTAAAACCTCTCCAAGTCTCATCTGACAAATCTCCCTAAAACCTGTCCAAACATTTAAGTCTCATCTGACAAATCTCCCTAAAACCTGTCCAAACATTTAAGTCTCATCTGACAAATCTCCCTAAAACCTCTCCAAGTCTCATCTGACAAATCTCCCTAAAACCTGTCCAAACATTTAAGTCTCATCTGACAAATCTCCCTAAAACCTGTCCAAACATTTAAGTCTCATCTGACAAATCTCCCTAAAACCTCTCCAAGTCTCATCTGACAAATCTCCCTAAAACCTGTCCAAACATTTAAGTCTCATCTGACAAATCTCCCTAAAACCTGTCCAAACATTCAAGTCTCATCTGACTAATCTCCCTAAAACCTCTCCAAGTCTCATCTGACAAATCTCCCTAAAACCTGTCCAAACATTTAAGTCTCATCTGACAAATCTCCCTAAAACCTCTCCAAGTCTCATCTGACAAATCTCCCTAAAACCTGTCCAAACATTTAAGTCTCATCTGACAAATCTCCCTAAAACCTGTCCAAACATTCAAGTCTCATCTGACTAATCTCCCTAAAACCTCTCCAAGTCTCATCTGACAAATCTCCCTAAAACCTGTCC